TTAACGGAATCCAAAAATTTTTTCGCAGAACTATTTCAAATAACAAGGAGATTCGTTTTAGCGAAAAAAAATTTTTGGGGTTAGGTGCACTTTAATGTGAGCTTCGCACAGACAAAAATTCGATACCCTATTAATGACCCCTGTGGCATGCCGCCGGCACAGTTGCCCTGAGCATAGTTTATGAAGCGCTTTTGTTGATGGTGTAAAATCCATACCCTATTAGTGACTGAAATGGCTAAAAAACCATACCCTTTGGGACCGCACATACCTATATGGCCCATGTAAGGGAGTACCCCCCGGCCATCCGTGCCATGTCCTTTTCATTTTCAAAGTGCCTCTCTCCAGCCGGTAAGGAGTATAAATGGCTACCACTTTGATTTAGTTGATTATCGACTTGGAGTTGATGAAGGCACGATCGTCGTTTTTTATTTTGCTGACATAAAAGGAAGCGCGGTGACCTAATTTTTAGCTGCAAAGGACTAGTAACTAGGAGGAGTGGACCGCTTGACAAGGAAAGGTTTTACACGGGATACTACACAGACCCCTTTGATTGAGTTAATTATTGTTACTTAGAGCTAGAATGAAAAAAATTAACAGGATGTACCGTCGCTATGGTAATCGGTTATGTCAAGAAAATGACTAAAACTTGTAAGCCAATGATTTGGGATATGTTTGAAAACATTGTTGTAGGACATACTAACTAGGACTGGTAGCAATAATTCATCAAAGATTAACTAATAGAAAAATGCGAGAAACTATTTTCAGCCACCTTTACAGAAATTTGCATTTAAATCTGGAGTCACTGAAGCATAACTTAAAACGTCTGGTGAAGATGGAGTTGAATTCTCTTTTCTCTTGTCTAATCAGTCTAATACGGATGAAATCGAAACAACTGGCAGAGATTATATTAGAACATTCACCCATTTAAGAGTTTCACAGCTTAACTTATAGGAGGATCTTTGTTCACAATGTTTGCCTCATTACCATAAGCGATACAGTTTCTGATGGAGCTACAAAGAGATTAATACTGAACATTGAAAGGGCACAGGACGATTAACTGTCCCAAGGAATTTGAGCGCGATGTATTGCATACTTTTTGTGCAACGAGGGTTTAAAAACTCAAAATTTTACAAAGAATGTATGAGCTCATTAGCGCTTTTGCCACACAGAAATTTTGATGTTTATGAAAGCCAATTTCTCCTCGAATATTACACCCAAAGAGCCAAAAATTTCACCACTTACTAAGTTTCACAAGCTGTTTAAGTTTTTCTAGTAAACTCGTGTCTACCATGATGCCCTCTATGCGCAAAGTCGTATGTTAATGAGGAAAAATGTAAGCAATGACGTCGGCAAAGATTCGCCTATAAAATGCTTTCTAAATTGCCAGGAGAGTTTTGAAAAGGTTATGTTGGTTACATCTTTGTTGAGAATCACTCTCATGTATGACGCTCAGAAGAACAGCTCTAAACAACAATTCATCTGCGTCGATTCATAGACTGCCTTACCGATCCGGATAATTAACAATTATTCACCAAAGTGGAGGCGAATAGTGCTGGATATTTTCACACTAAAGTGAATTAGTATGTGCCATAAAAGTTGAATAATCGGGCGATTGTTGCCATTTTCGGGAACCGAAGCGAAGCGGGAAGCCATTTTGTTTTTTCCGTTTGCTCAGAAGTGAATAGTACTTGCTATTCACCTCCGAACTAGCCAATCAGACTGTGCGGAAAGCACTATTCATTTGTGTGGTATATTCTAAAACATAATGTTAAGTGAAATTTGGTGCTAGCTTGAGCCGATTCCATTGTGTTTCATTGAAAGATGATCGAGTCGTGCTCCTCGATAGCACTTGACAAGCACATACATGTTTTCCTGATTAATGCTAACCTTCTAGACGCCATGAGGTTCTTGCGTGTTCAAGGTAGAAATGTGCCGTGAATAAGACTTTCTCATGTGCTTGTCGAGATCAGCCTCAGTGATCCTCACAGTTATTCCAGTTGATAAGGCAAGGACTCTTCTAATCGCAAATAAAGATCTTGATGCAGTAGTAATACGGCCGCTGCAGCATATACCAAGATGCAGTGTACTGCTTCAGCGAGCCTTCCCAGAAATTCACTAATTTATGTTGATGTGAAAATTGCACGCTTTCAAATTCGATCATCATCGATCGGCATCGCCATCAAAAAGCTTTCTTTCCCTGTCAGTCATGTGTGAAGACGGTTATAGGCAATTTGCAACTGAAATTTAAATGAAAAATTTATTCAATCTCAGTGAGGCATAACAATAATGATAAGAGTCGTGTTTGACCTGTCATCCATTTTTATCTCCACGGGATTAAACAGCTGAAACAGCGTAAAAGCAATGATGAAACGCTTTACTAAGAATAAGGCACATTACACGGTCCGTGAACCGAGATTCAATGTAAACAACCATGAAGAAAGAATTGAAAACATCCCGAAAAGAATGGACGAACTCAAACAAATGATGTTAAACATTCAGAAAGAACAGAATAAAGAGAGTGAATCTTATCCCAATGTTTCATTTAAGCCCACAGATCATTCTATAAGGGAAAGGGTTCCAAAGCGCGTCATTCGCGCCAAGAAACGCAACGAACGGAGAAAAAAGCTTAGACGCGATATCGATCAGAAAACACTGGAATCACAGAAACGATACATCAAAAACCTCTCAGATTCCGAACTGACACACGACCAAATTAACCTATTGTCAAGGGGCCTCAAATTTATTCCCACGCCAGTGACAAACGAAAGTCACACAAGGCTACAACTTTTAAACGATTTCGAAGCGAGACGAATGCGCCTACAGTTTATGTTTCACGGCCAGAACAAAGAGCCACACCCCTTCCACGTGAAATCTAGCTGGGAGCCGCCAATTCAACCCTCGGTTGCGTTAGAAACATATTTAGAAGAGGTCAAAACACAACTGGTGGAGGTCAAAATATTAAAAAAAAAAAAAAAAAACTTCCCTCACAGGGAAAGTCAAGCCATTAACGAGCTTAAACAAAACACAAATATCAATGTTAAAAAGGCAGATAAAGGGACCACAACTGTCATTATGAATAAAGAAGACAAAATACGAGAGGGACAGGTACTACTGCCTGGACGAAAGAGAAAACTACGAGTCCCTAGCGCTACCAATGGTAACGGAAACATCTCAAAGAGTCAAGGAACTCATTAAAACACTCTACCATGGTAACCATATTGATGAAATGACGGACAAATGGCTATCCCTAACGCCAAATTCACCACGAATTCCAGTTTTCTATACCCTTACAAAGATTCACAAACCAAACCCGGTCGGTAGGCCAATCATATCTGGCTGTGATTTCCCAACAGAACGCTCATCATTTGTTGATTACCTCCTTCAGCCTATTGCTAAAGTTCAGGAATCATACCTTAAAGACACAACAGATTTCTTAAACTTTATAGAGAAAACGAAGGTCCCCAAGGACACAATGCTAGTGTCAATGGACGTTTCAAGCCTATATACTAACATCCCACAGGAGGAAGGAATCCCCATTGTATATAAAACATACGAAAAATTCCACCTAAACAAACCTCCCATACCTACCCTCTACCTCAGAGATATACTTATGGTTATCTTACAAAAAAAAAATCTTTCCATTTTAACGGCAAAAATTATCTTCAAACACACGGCACCGCAATGGGCACAGAAATGGCAGTCTCTTTTGCCAACATTTTCATTGCCACGGTAGAAACAGAAATCATTAACCGCAGCCAATTAAAGCCGCTCACTTGGAAAAGATATATCGATGATGTCTTTTGTCTATGGAACGTAAACAAAGAGGAAATAAACAAGTTTATAGAGCTAGCAAATAACTATCATCCGACCATAAAATTCACGGCTGAAATTTCAGATACAGAAATAACTTTCCTGGATACATGAGTATATAAGGGCGAAAGATTTAAGAAGGAATCCATTCTCGACGTGCGCACGCACTTCAAACAGACAGAAACTTTCCAATACACACACTTCACCTCCTGCCACCCTCCAGGCGTCAGGAAAGGCTTTAGCAAAGGCGAAGCCTTAAGACTTCTGAGAACCAACTCTTCAATAGCTATATTTGAAGAAAACATAACACAATTCAAACGCAGATTACGCGACCGAGGTTATCCAGATAACCTTTTAGAAAACATTCTCTCAGAAATTAAATTTAACGTACCGAAAACGTCGGCTCTACAAAATAAGCAAAAAACGCGCAAAAGAATTTGGCCGTTTGTTACAGAATATCGCCCATCTGTGCCTAATCTTGTAAAAACAGTCCTATGAGTAATGGCATTTAATACAAAATCAGCCTCTGCTAAGGGAGATCTATAAAGACACTCCCCTGCTTTCATACAGAAAAGGGAGATCTTTGAAAAACGTACTCGTTAGAGCAAAGCTTTGAAGGTCAAAGTTCTCCTATCTTGACCAATAGGAGTCGTGTTTGGCCTGTCACCCATTTTTATCATCATGCTAAAGTTGTTTTGGCCACGTATAATAGTTAACTTGAGAACTCCAGTTTAATTTGATGAGGAACAACATATTTTGTTCAGAATAACACAACTAATATCCTACCTGACGATACTCAGTCTACGAATTACGAGCGAGTTCCCAGTGACCCATTTTTGGAGCCAAATTAGAAGCTTGGAGACGCAAGATGTCTCATATTTTTCACTTTTTGCAATCTGATATTTTTGGCACTGTGAATCCCTTTTCGCGAATATTTAATGCCATCTTCGGCGAGAAAAGTTGCCCGATTTCAATGCCTTTCCTGTTACATAAATTGACGTCAGGACAATTAAGTTTTTCCCGCCTGCTCAATCCTGATTGGTCAATTCAAATTTCAGACGCGCCAGCCCTATGCAAGCCCAAATAAATAACAAATAAAAAGGAATTTGCAATGACATATCGCACTGAGAGGCTGTCCTTTCACTGTTTCCAAATCGAAATTGGAATTTAGAAGAATAATAGTTTCTATTTTTAGAACGTAATTTACATCCAAGCACCCAAAGGCTTAACAGTTTCTCCAGTATAGTTGCTACGCTACGCGTGCGCAGTAAAGACAACAAGTCCAATAATTATAAAACTAAAATATCGTAATTACATATTATAACTACTTGAATTCTTATGTACGTAAAAATTATATCAAAGACGAGAACGAGACAGTTTGATCTTGCGTCCATGGGAAGATCGAAGTGAACTGTCCTGTTATAGCTAAGCTACTTGTCCATTTACAGTAAATTTTAATGATTCACGCTTCATGTGCACTAGGTCCTGCTGTTAAACACTTGTGAGAAGCAGCGCTTGGTCCAGCCTCTAGGGAACTAAAAATAGTCAAACAGTTAAACTTTTTTAATCATGTACTTTTGACTGGTTAGTACAAGTAAGACTAACAATAAAAGACTTCTGTAAAACTTTTTAGCTTCATTCACTGTTTACAGCGAACCGTTCTCAAGGTCGCCACATGGCAACGCGTGTTCAAAGACGGGTTGATTGTAACAAAACTACAACCAGACACAAAAGCGGAACTTTTGAGTTACCGGCGAAGACACTTCAACTAGCCTGCGAGAAAAGTTGCTTTTCTTTTCTAACAACGACCATACAAGAGGCGCTGCTGCATTGGTTTGTTTCGCCCTGGTCAATCAATTGAGAGAAACGGTAAACACAATTCCATTTCATACCGCTGTTCTGAACTGGGCAGTTGCATGTTCAGACTCGTATAATCTCCTGCCACGCACACATGTCCTTTCAGGAAATTCTGATGGTAGTGGATCTCTGAAACAAAAGTTTAAAAAAAGTGACTGTGTTAACTTAACTTCCCCACCTAAATACTGACCTTATGCTTTACCGTTAACTGACTGCATTTCTCCGAAGTTTTCTCTTGACTTTGCCAAAACAGTAAATATGTAATGTTTGTGTGTGTATGAGTACGAACCTACAGGGAGAAATATAATTTCTCACCAACGCGCCCGCGCTGTTCGTGGAAATGTCTCTGAATCAACTCAGCGTTTGAAGGATCCATCACAAAGTTACCGCTGTGATTTTCAACTGCCGAGTCACGTGCTACTGGAGGAGCTGGCAATTCACTCCTCAAGGCAAGTTGGTCGATCTCTGCGGAAAGAGCGGAATGAAACCTGAATGAAATTCATTTTGGCATCAATATGAAAATATTAAATTGAAATGATTTAGAGCAGTCATTCAGAACGAAATGGAAAACAAGTAAAACATAAAGGATAGAAACTAGTTTTGATACATTTTGTAGTCAGGCTTTTTAGATAAGTCTAGACAACATTTTAGTCAAAAAGGTGGTTCCTTGAGTAAACATACTTCTATCTTAAGACGCTTAATCATATCCTTTCCCTGCAAAACAGGCGTATGAGATTTCAGCCAAAATATTCTACAGAGAAAGTTTACTGTCTCTGGTTGTCCTTTACAGAGTAAAATTCCAAATCAAGCAACAACCAATCAAAAAACTTTACAAATATCTGCAGAGTTAAGTCAACAGCATGGAAGTTTTAAAGTCAAGACTTCTCTCTAGCGGGGGAAGAAGTAAGCGCCAGCCGAAAGGAGATCAGAGTAAACTCTAGGCTTGATGAGGGGCGATGTTTTCTGGTAAACGAACGCTGACATACTCATATTGTCAAACCCCTAGTATGAAACCCCTTCTTCACAAACCTGCCAATCCAGGGCCAGGCACAGAAGCACCTCCTGCAGTGGAATCAGCAAGGGTCATAAAATCATTGCTGTCAAGAACAAGCGACTCTGATCCCCATTTGTGAACCAAACGTAGTCTGACGGGTGTTCCTGCTTTCGCGAAGCTTCGCATTTTGAGGTGGGATGGTGTGATTTCAGTTTGACTCAAGTCAACCACATCTGCTCCTAACTCGTTCTCTAGGTATTTCAAAGCCCTGCTGATTTTCTCCTTCTGAGTTGCATAAAGAGTAACACGAAGGTTTCCAGAGTCGTCGTGTTCACGTTTAACAGTTACGGAAAGGGAACCGATCGGAACTCTGTCGATGGCCATGCTGCAGGATGCGGGAAGTGTGATCAGCGATTCAAATATTCCAATGCTTCGGATGAGTCCGTGGATATGTACATGTGCAATTGCTTCAAGTTGCAACTCGTCGTCAGACTCTTTACGGATCCAGAACAGCTGAGAAAAGATTTCCTTTGACTTGTCATACTTCAATCCATCGTTGNGGGGGGGGGGGTCATGCGATTTTTAAATGATGCTTCCCAAATCCCACCAGCGCCCCCTCCCTCATAGAAAATGAACGGTCCCTTATCCATTACCGTCAGCTGATTACATTTCTCCGTAGTTTTTTTCTTGACTTTGCCAAAACATTAAACATGTAATGTTTGTGTGTGTATGAGTACGAACCCACAGGAAGAAATATAATTTCTCACCAAAGTGCCCGCGCTGTTCGTGTAAATGTCTCTGAATCAACTCAGTGTTTGAGGGATCCATCACAAAGTTACTGCTGTAATTTCCAACTGCCGAGTCACTTGCTACTGGAAGAGCTGGCAATTCACTCCTTAAGGCAAGTTGGTTGATCTCTGCGGAAAGAGCGGAATGAAAACTGAATGAAATTCATTTTGGCATCAATATGAAAATATTAAATTGAAATGATTTAGAGCAGTCACTCAGAACGAAATGGAAAACATGTAAAACATAAAGGATAGAAACTAGTTTTGATACATTTTGTAGTCAGGCTTTGTATATAAGTCTGGACAACATTTTAGTTAAAAAAGTGGTTCCTTGAGTAAACATACTTTTATCTTAAGACGTTTAATCATATCCTTTCCCCGCAAAACAGGCGTATGAGACGCCACCCAAAATATTCTACAGAGAAAGTTTACTGTCTCTGGTTGTCCTTTACAGAGTAAAATTCCAAATCAAGCAACAACCAATAAAAAAACTTTACAAATATCCGGCTGCAGAGTTAAGTCAACAGCATGGAAGTTTTAAAGGCAAGACTTCTCTCTAGCGGGGGAAGAGGTGAGCGCCAGCCGAAAGGAGATCAGAGTAAACTCTAGGCTTGATGAGGGGCGATGTTTTCTGCTTAACGAACGCTGATATACTCATATTGTCAAACCCCTAGTATGAAACCCCTTTTCCACAAACCTGCTATTTCTGGGTCAGGCACAGAAGCTCCTCCTGCAGTGGAATCAGCAAGGGTCATAAAATCATTGCTGTCAAGGACAAGCGCCTCTGATCCCCATTTGTGAACCAAACGTAGTCTGACGAGTGTTCCTGCTTTCGCGAAGCTTCGCATTTTGAGATGGGATGGTGTGATTTCAGTTTGACTCAAGTCAACCACATCTGCTGCTAACTCGTCCTCCAGGTATTTCAAAGCCCTGCTGATTTTCTCCTTCTGTGTTGCATAAAGAGTAACACGAAGGTTTCCAGAGTCGTCGTGTTCACGTTTAACTGCTACGGAAAGGGAACCGATTGGAACTCTGTCGATGGCCATGCTGCAGGATGCGGGAAGTGCGATGAGCGATTCAAATGCTCCAATGCTTCGGATGCGTCCGTGGATATGTACATGTGCAATTGCTTCAAGTTGCAACTCGTCGTCAGACTCTTTACTGATCCAGAACAGCTGAGAAAAGATTTCCTTTGACTTGTCATACTTCAATCCATCGTTGCCTTGAGTGTGACATGAATTAGTTGGGTCACTCAGTTCAAATCTCACAAGCTGTGATGGATCAAACTTGGCAAACTTCAGCAGACTCAGTGCAACGTTGTGGAAATCACGAAGGAAGTTTCCTTCAAAAGCGGTGGGGTTTGACATGATGTCTCTAATGGTAAAGGAAAACACGTGCAATCGCTTGTACAATCTTTGTTCTTCGGAACTTTGGAAAAACTTTTCCAGGAACTGAAGCATTGTGATAATCATATTGGAGCCACCCCACTGATGTATCTCGTTTTCGGTGGAGCGATTGCCATTGTTGTTGAGACATAAGTGTTCAAGAATATATGACACTTCACAGAAAAGCCTAGATATGTCTTTGTTTTTTGAAGCCTCTTGAATATCTGAAACAATTTTTTGGAGGGCTGTTTCATCAGGTACTCCTCGTAATCCACTTTGTTGGTGTGGAACGTTTACATCTCGAAAGATTTCTTTTATGGTTTGTACAAGTTGAGGAACAATCACAAGGAAATCTGCTGTAATGGATTCTTCTGGAGTCGTGCCCAAGAGCTTACATTTCTTGGCAATGTCCCCAGGTATTTGTCTGTAGATTTCAAGAAGACTTGCGCAGTTTTCTGTTGAAGCTGCCAAGTCCAAATCCTCTTTGGAGGTTGCCATTTCGATGCAACAGTCTCTCAAAATGGAGCTGCAGAGCGTTTTAATTTCATGTCCCAAGTATTTTGTCATGTTAGGATCCGTGTTCTGCAAACCCACGATCGTAACAGCAAATTCCCTCAAATGCTCAATGTGCATTTGCCCTCTTTCTTTCACTCTGTAGTCTGAGAACACGAGAAATGGAATACATCATGTGGAATACATTCAAGTAATTTAAGTATTGTGAAATCAAGTACGGTTTCTTTGCTGAAAAAATCCTTTGAACGCTGCTACACAAAAAGTAGATTAATAGTTTTATGAATAGGATTGGTCGCTATATAAACGTGACTGCGCTCATTCTAACGATGTACAAATCTTGCTTTCTATTTGATTTTTTATCTTGCGCGGACACCTGAAAACAAAATTGGCAAAGGAAATTCTTCATTTTGGAGGCATGGGTGGAGAGCAGCACTTAATACTAGGCCACATGTCAGCTAGTCCTACAGTGTAGATTGAGTTCCATGACAAGGAGATCAGCTCTAGGATAGGACACTCTTAGAAAGGACGGCCTACCTTCAGTCGCCAAAACAGGCTCCCATAGGAAACCTACGCGAATAAAAGCATTTTTACCTTCAGGTTGTAACCCTTCTAAGGCTTTTCTGAGCACGGCGAAATCGTCTGTGTTCTTATGTGCCTCCCGCCAGCGTAGCAAAATCATTTCCAGTTGTTTTGCCTCGCTTTGCCCACATGTAACAGCTTCATTTGACGTTTCCTTAGACAGTCCAAGCTTTAGGGTCAAGGGTTTAAGGTTGAAAATGGCGTTCTCTACCCCTAAAAGTCGTCTCACGTAGCCACACAGATCTGTAATAGAATTTGTGTGTTATGTTGTAAAAATGCATGTTTCTTTTTTTCCATTTCTAGATCAAGCAGCTTGCGGATCTTTGTAATCATGGCTTGGCCGATTCATACTCTCAAATTGGTTTAATTATTATATTTATTGTATTTAATCAACTACCATGATTCGGGTGATTTACCGGTAGATTGTTTCAACTGGATGCTGAATAAAGCAAAACGGCATGACGTGTAAGTGTTTTGCCATGATAATAAGTGTCTGGCTATTTATATCTATTGCAAAGTTTTAAAAGCGAAACTCACCTTGTTGGCAGAAGTGATCTTCTCCAACATGACCATGCTGGCCTTCAACAACAATCCTTCCACACAGGATTTTGGCGTCAGTACCAGAGGCCTGCAATGGCAGCTTGACGACATGCCCAGTACTCCACCAAACGGAAGAGTCCACGACAAATGTGATTCGTTCTTGCTGGTTGTTGGCCGGTTTGTAGTCTTCTCCCAGTTGAACGGAAACCGTCAGGTTTTCGTAATTGTAGATAAAACCGCTTTCCTTTCTAACTTTGGAACAAAGTTCCTCAAACCCATCACTTTTGAGCTTCATTAGTGCGCAATCATCGTGTTCTCGGTAAAACTGCTCCTTGTAGATATCCTGGCTCATAAACACGAAAGCGAGCTCATCACAAGGTAAATTTTGGTGACTGGTTTTGAAAAAAACCGACAACATATATTTGAAAGATATGAGGTTTAACCGCGTTGCAATTTCTTTTGTTTGAACCCAAGCTAACCTGACCAGCACTGCAATTAGGGAAAAGTGATCGATGTTCACTGATAGCTCTTTGTTTTCCAAATCAAACCTGGAATTATGAGTGATATCCTCCCAGTAGATCTTTCCGCTTCCGGCTGGTGCGCCATGCAAAACGAGAAAGGCTTCACTGAAATGTTCTTTCTCACTGTCTAATGTTATTAAAAGCTTCACATGTTTTTGGAACGTCTGGCCATTCGGCTGACAATTGATGATGGGTGCACCAAATTTCAAATCATTTTCAAGTCCATGGTTAAGTATCAGGCCACAGTATTTATGAGGTTCTTCTAAAACAAGTTTGACGGTCACTGGATCGTCCACAGCTCCAGGAGGGCATACGAGTTTGACACCCTTCACGCTCATTAATCCACCTTTACTTGTTATAACGCTTGAAGATTCGACATCCTGGACAGCTTCTGCGATTGGCGCTAAAAATGGGAGGAGACAAATATTATCATTAGTTTGTTTCCTTTTTTTTAGTGAGGATGGCTGATATATCGTCAGAGTTTATGTGAAGGTCAGCATGAACAGCGAACGCTATATCAACATTGTGTAGGGCCATAGAACAACAACATCAAGAACATCAATTAAAAACAACAAAATTAAAACAGCAACGACAACAAATTTTACAGATAGGGACCAAAGAAAGGAAAAACTCTATTTATCAAAGAGTTACATAAAACGAACGATATATAAAAACCAAATCATCAGGACAATTAAGGACAACTACAACTTCAAAACGGGACAAAAATGGTATTGACCGTAAGAAAACCAAGCAAACAAACAAACTGCACCTGAATTTGGTGGGACAGGCTGGGGGTTGGAGATTAGCTCATCGTACATAAGCCTTGTTGTTTTGACATGAGTCTTACTTGAGTCTTAATTATAAGAAACTATCGAGTATCGACAAAACACAAGAGACACAACAAGAGACACGAAGTCCTTTGAACACGATCTGCAGACAGGCATACACATGTACAGGAATTATCAGTCCAAAACCCACACAGGCAATCTACACAGGCATTATCGGTTCAAAAGCCACACAGGTATTATCAGTTCAAAAGTCACACAGGTATTATCAGTTCAAAGTTACTACGCTGGACACCCGGAGCGGTTAAGCCTCGAAGGCAATAGTATGAAGAAAAATTCGCCACGTTTTCAAATTAAAGCTCACAGTAGCAATTAACAATTCAATTCCACCACACAGGCAAGCCGCACAGGCCACATCAGTACCAATTAGCCACACCGGCGAGCCCCACAGGCATATATCAGCATAAATTTCACCATGCAAATGAGCCCGTCAGACATAAATAGTACAAAAACCTTTCGCCACGCAGGCAAGCAGTACAGGCAACTAATCCTACTCACAAATTTGCCCAACTAAAGTTAACCCCGTCTAAAACCAGCTACTTGAAGAAAAATAAACTGCCGCCTTGCTGTTAACCTGTGCTGCTATTGCTTGTACTAGTACTGCTAAATATACAACGTGAGGGACCTGTTGGATGTTAGCCATCGAGTAAGTCGGGGTTGATATCCAAAGGAGCTAACCGCTTCGCTTTTGCGGCCTCGAGTACAGTGATGGGGTGGAACACTTGTAAATACTTTTATACTGCCATTTGCATAATCCCCAGGGTACAGTTACCTATGCAAATTGAGTTTGCATACAGCTATAAACCCATAGACTGTTCTTCTGATAAAATAATTATTTGAAGGATTACCTTGAATTGCATTCTTAAGGGTAGATGGCATGTCTTCGTACATCGCTTTATATTCTTCGACATCCTCTTCTTTTAAAACAGCAATAAAATTAGTGAAATCGAAAACATGTTAGCTATGAAGGTTGTCTTAACGAAGTACTACGTATTCCTACATGATAGTAAAAGAACACGGATGCCAATTATATGAAACAAAACAAACGACTCCCTTTAATCATTCTCGACCTCAAATAAAATGTTTTTCGCTTTCTGATTGGTTCACAGAATCTTGCTTACAGTTAAGTACAAGTATTGTGAAGCTCACAAACTTGTATAGAATTTTAAAGTATCTATGGTACATTATCGCCAATTGTTTATAATTTTTATCACGTTAGTCTTGTGATTTTAGGACCCGACTGCCCACACAGAAAGTCTTGTGATTCCAAGTTGTCTATCTTAGTTTATCAAGAGTAATTAGACTGCAAAGAATACCCGATCGATGGTCTATGTTTGGGTTCGTCTACTGGTCTTGGTTCTGAATCCCCCACAAAGATCCTGTTTGGGTTTCTAGTTTACTAAACTTTAGCTCCTATTCATTGTTTCAAGAACTTTGCAGTCCCCTTCTGAAAGTCGCGTTTAAGTGTTTGGGTTTGTATTCTAAAAGATTGTTTAATCCTCCAAGGTCAGTTCTTCCAGTATGGCCCACACATAGCTACTGATATGGTATTTAAGTGCGTGTGCACTTCCAAGTAAAGTAGTATTAAAGCAGGAAGAAGAAGTAGAAGTAGAAGATAAGACGGGGGGATAGTGATGAAGGAAAGGTGTCCGAATAAAAGATAGAGACTTGTTACCTCCTCGCGTCTGCAAGCAAGAATCTAACAAGATTGGTGAAGAACTTGGACCTTTTTGAAGACAAAAGACTTGTAAGTTAAAAATGACTGGGCACGCTTCCGTTTTAAGCTCAGTTAGACAATGTAGTTTGTGCAGTTCAGTTTATGGTGAGTTAGGGCAATGTTTAAGTTTCGCTTTTCCCGAAAGATTTTGTATGGTTCGATAATTTTGCTTCGCTGGTTGTTTCAATGTTCATTTTTGAAATCTGGTTCTTAAGAGTCGACTAACGTTTCATCCCTGATTACTAGACAAAGAACTCGAGACCTGGCCGAATAAATTAAATTGAGGTTCAGGAGACTACTGCGTCCGGTAGATTACCCGAATCGCTAAACACGCCTCTCGCGCCGTCACCTCCAAGAGAAAGAAGAACTCTCTTTAAGTCCCTTTGATCTTTACGGCGTTCAGTCAGCACATCTCATACCCAAGCGCAAGAGCCTGCTATGGTTCCGCAAAACGTTTTTCCAACTCTGAGAGAAGGTTCAGAACTTTCGTATTGTATGGGCGATTGTCACACTGACTCGGAAAACGACGAAGATAATTACGAAAAGGTTGTACCTGACCGTAACGGAGCGCAGCTTTCAAAACACAGAACGAAATTCTGAATTTTGCAAGCCAAATCCTGAATCGGAAGAGTCAAGTTTTGATTCTATAGAGGAATATTAGTAAGTTCCTTCTGAAGAAATGAATGATCAAGTGTCCCAGCTGTGTGAAGCAGTAGAGAGAATGAGGGTTACTATTAATTCACAACCGAGTGGTAATACTGCAAAGCTGTCAGTCGCTTTTCCTGTTTTTCGAGGAGGAGAGTGCAAGGATGTGCGCGAGTTCTTCCAGTAGAGTGATGGGGTGGAACACTTTAAAATACGTTAGCTGTCATTTGCATAATTCCCAGGGTACTGTTACCAATGCATATTGAGTTTGCATACAGCTATAAATCCATAGACTGTTCTTCTGCGAACTAAAATTGTACAGTTGTTTCGGTAAAGAATAATTATTCAAAGGATTACCTTGATTTACATTCTTAAGGGTAGATTGCACCATGTCTTCGTAAATCTCTTCATGTTCTTCCAAATCCTCTTCTTTTAAAACAGCAATAAAGTTAGTGAAATTGAAAACACGTCAGGTATGAAACTGGTCTTTACAAAGTACGACGCATTCCTACATAACAGTAAAAGAACAGGGAACTAGGGAATTTTTTTTACTTTAGATACAACTATAAACCGCTTATAGGGAACAAAACGAACGACTCCCTTTATTTCATTCTTAACCTCAAATAATTGTTGGCGAGCCCTAGCGAGACAGCGGCCTATTCTTTACAATGGCGAGAAAAAGCAAAATTTGTTGGATGTAAGATCGGAGACATGCGCAATCGAGTGCGTTTTTTATATCCGGGGTACTTGTGAATGCACGTGGAGTTCGAGCAATAGCTGTGTACAGCCGTCCCGCTCTGTTAGAAATTAAGGACACCATAAACGAGGCAAATCATACACAGTATTCTTCGCCCGTTGAGGCGTTAAATTTGAGAGTTAAAATCTCTCTTGAGGTAAATAATTCGACCATTGAGTTACATTTGCCCGTTGAGGCGATGGAAAAGCTTGCAATCATAGATTCAAAATGTGGATCGCTCGTTGAAGCTAACCATTCAACTGCAAATTCAAATGACTGTTTGGGCTTTGAGACAAATTCTGTGTCGATTTCATCCGTGGAGAGCATTCATTCGACCGTCGAGTCCAATTGTTTTTCAACCTTTGAGTCGAAA